CGACCTATGATAGATACGAAGTTAAAATTTTGACACAAGGTGTCAAATTGATGCAGGCGAAGGTGCTGAAAGTTTGGCGTCGATATGTCAAGCTGTTTGGAAGTTATTAATTATAGTTCATTCGACGCGTCTCGGCGAGAGGAACACAATTCTGGCAATTGAAATGTCGTGGCGTTTTTTAGTCAAAAGTTATTGGCGAAAAACACTTCGTAAAAGCAGCTATTTTTGGAGTTTTTGCCCTCTGGAGGCTAAACCACTGACCTGAGGTCATTTTTGATGATATCCTTATCAAAAGAAGAGTTCAAAAGCTATTGATTGCTTTTCCAAGCGTTTTTCTGCTATCATAGTTCCTGAGATAATGGCATGTTTTCTGAAAAATATAATGACAATTCACAAAGTTTGACCTTAGATGACCTCTCGTGACCCCAATATTGCTCTAAGATGAAAAATGACTGAAATACTTTCAAACGTACTCATCGAGAGCTATCGACTGCTTTTTACCGCGTCTTTCTACCCCTCTTAGTCTTTGAGTTAGAGGTGGGTGGTAAGTGGTAACATATGCCCCCCCCCCCCCCCCACTAGGGCGAAGTTGGCTGAGACTGCCACTGGGGCGCGGGTTAAGTCTTGAGTCCTTGACAAAGTAACCTCAACTAATCCATGATTCTTATCTTAGTCATTCAATAACGAGGTACCCTGCTCAAACTATTATAAAACTATTATATATAACTATTATAAAACTATTATTATTAAATAGTGATAGGCGAATTGTTAATGAATGTGAAATATATTCTTAATGCCACATTCTCAACATCCATATCAATATCACCTCTGTCAAAACGAACTTCAACACCACAGAAACAAAAGCTTGTTTCAAGGATAGAACGAAATAAAGGGAATTACTATTATTAAAAGCCCTAATAATTTTTCATACAACACCACCAACGCACATAAACACCAAGGTATATCAATATAAAAACACTATAAATACCGAAACTTTCCCCGCGTTCGATGTCTCTCGGACGGCGAAGATTCTACGCCGTCCGGCCAATCACGTTCCAGAACCGCAGCCGAGCCCCCGCTGACCTTGGACGGGATTGGCCGGACGACGTAGAATCTTCGTCGTCCGAGAGACATCGAACGCGGGGTTTGACTTCAATCTGAATCGACACACGTGAGGAACCAACACGCCTTATGCCTTGAACTGTTCAACAAGCAAGCTTTACCGATGTAAAACTTTCGGCTTTCACTGTTGCCTAGCAACCATGTTGAAAAGCAACTAGTTTCTAGGCAACTGCTCCTCACGCATTTGTCAATTCAATTTTAGAACAGGTGGTACTATTTACTTGTTTGTAGCTTATGCGCAGGAGCTGTAGCACTATAATTTTATTTGGAGTTCTTGATGTTTCATATCTGGCGCAACAACTTCAAAATCAGCGCTTGAATCTAAAGCATACGAAAAGCGCTCTTATGGGTATTGTTTTTCTGTTGAAAAGAACAAAAAGATTGAAACCTTTCGGGACATTTTCCCAGGGGCGTCGCCACGGATTTTTGAGTGGGGGGGTCGGGTTTCTAGTCTTCACCCGATGGGTAGGGGTGTTTTTTTGCCACACTTCCCAGTTTTGTGCGTGCGTATGTGTGTGTGTGCGTGTGTAACAAATCGGCGCGCAGCGCCGCCAAATTTGGTATAACCTATTAGGTAGGTATACCTACCCTACCTACATCACTTGCGTAAAAATTATCACTGGTCACTTAAGGTCAGGTCGCCATGCCAAGTTCAGTTATACGGTATACCTACATAAAAACTTTCCCCTCTCGCCATTCTTGTAGCTTTTCTCCCATAACTTCGAAATTTGGTACACTGTATTCAGTACCAAATTTACCAAAAACCCCCACCTAATGTATGGGGTTATACGTGTCAGCAATTCATGATTCTAACTGAGGATTTACAGCTATGATCTGAAGGCAGGTCAAATATGTGACCTCATCATTAGAAAATAATGGGTGGAGACTTCCATTTCGCGTCTAGCTAGACGCGTCTAAGTCTTAGACGCGTCTAGCTGGACGGCCGCTGCCTCTATCTGGCGACGGCTAAATTTAGACGCGTCTAGCTTGGAAGTCTCCGTCCAACAGTTAGACGCCAAGCTAGATGCCAACTTGGACGTCTGCTCAGTTAGACGCCAGTTGGACGCCAGTGGAAGTCTCCACCCAATGAGAAATTAGAAAAAGCACGAATGCCTCCTGCTTTGAAAAAGTTCGTCAGAAACACAAAATATCTTTGGAGCCATGACAAATCAGCTCATCATTGCCAGGGACAGGGTGCAACTTATGGCGAGTGATGACTCGAAAGGTCCTTAGTGGAAATGTCCATCGATGGCCACCAGCATTTTTTCTACAACTTTTGACGAAGACGCGGTAGAGCGATGACAGCACCTGGGTCCTGGAAGGTTGTTCACTGTTCAGCTCAACAACACGGATCCATTCATATGCAGCAGGAGGTCCTTTTTCGATCAGGACATAACGTTGACCTGAGGTCGTTTTAACGTTAATTCTGAATGGTCAAATTTTAACTCATGTGACGCGTCTCAAAGAGATCAAGACGTTGGTGACAAGACAACATATGTACATACCATACAAATTCACGGAATCGAAAGTTATTGCAAAGCAGATGTTTCGGCAGAATCTGTCCAGTTAGCTGTTTGCCTTCTTACATGGGCCAAACATAGACCTGAGATGAAATCTAACGCGAAGCGAGCGAAAGAGCGTTAAAAGAGCTGTCGAATAGTTTTCTGCTTCACTGTAGCCATTCTATTGGTGGTTTCCCAGTCGCTAACGCATAACGTATACTAAACTAACGCTGAGGCATGCTTTCGACCCCTGATCGAAATACAGGTTTGCGGAAAAAAGAGCATGCTGCCCGTGACGAGAGAAAGCCGATGATACCCATTTACAAGTTTTCGGGTCATCTCAGGACTCAGGTCATCGCCAATAAGTAGAGAAACTCGGGACCTGCTAGAACTTAACGAATGTAAGTTGTGATGGTTTTTCGAGGTTCTGATTACGAATGTTATCTTAGTTTTGAACGAAGATGATGACTCCATGCATTTGGGGTAGATCAGGTCAGGTCAGATCGACCAGTACCTAATAGTGGATGACCACCACCGATTGCTTCCTAGCATGTTATATGAATAAGCAACGCAACTACTTCTTAAATGCTCAGATGGGCGCTAAGTTCAAAATCAGCTCCAAAAACTACCCTATCAATTAAAAGCACGTTATGAAAAAGTGAACTAAGGCCATCTTTATTTGAATCAGGGATATCGATTTATTTTAAGTAGGTGATTAACATGTGCACTGTACAGCTAGTTGTGACGGTAGCCATGGGGCTGAGGCTAGTATGTAGTTTTGTAGTTAGGTACTGATCCGACCAGGGGCGTCGCCGACGGGGGGGTCGGGGGGGTCGTGACCCCCCCACTCTTGAAAACTGGGGGTGTCGACCCCCCCCCCCCACTTTTTGCGATGCTGAGTACCTATGCTTTTTTAGCTTTTATGTCAGTGAAGCAGGCGTCAGCAACACTAACAAATACATCAGATTCAAAATCGCTTCAAGAGCTCCCTAAAGCCAATTAGCCAATTACCTAAAGGTCAATTAGCTGTGGGCGGGGAACACCAGCACAACAATGTTTTTAAGTAGCCCCCATCCTAGTACCTTTTTATCCCTCAAAGGATTGGACGCACCAAAACTGCCCCGAGCGTTCGTCTGATCGTTTTACAAAAATGGTCGCAGTCGATTCGTCGGATCAGTACCTAACTACAAAACTACATACTAGCCTCAGCCCCATGGCTACCGTCACAACTAGCTGTACAGTGCACATGTTAATCACCTACTTAAAATAAATCGATATCCCTGATTCAAATAAAGATGGCCTTAGTTCACTTTTTCATAACGTGCTTTTAATTGATAGGGTAGTTTTTGGAGCTGATTTTGAACTTAGCGCCCATCTGAGCATTTAAGAAGTAGTTGTGTTGCTTATTCATATAACATGCTAGGAAGCAATCGGTGGTGGTCATCCACTATTAGGTACTGGTCGATCTGACCTGACCTGATCTACCCCAAATGCATGGAGTCATCATTTTCGTTCAAAACTAAGATAACATTCGTAATCAGAACCTCGAAAAACCATCACAACTTACATTCGTTAAGTTCTAGCAGGTCCCGAGTTTCTCTACTTATTGGCGATGACCTGAGTCCTGAGATGACCCGAAAACTTGTAAATGGGTATCATCGGCTTTCTCTCGTCACGGGCAGCATGCTCTTTTTTCCGCAAACCTGTATTTCGATCAGGGGTCGAAAGCATGCCTCAGCGTTAGTTTAGTATACGTTATGCGTTAGCGACTGGGAAACCACCAATAGAATGGCTACAGTGAAGCAGAAAACTATTCTACAGCTCTTTTAACGCTCTTTCGCTCGCTTCGCGTTAGATTTCATCTCAGGTCTATGTTTGGCCCATGTAAGAAGGCAAACAGCTAACTGGACAGATTCTGCCGAAACATCTGCTTTGCAATAACTTTCGATTCCGTGAATTTGTATGGTATGTACATATGTTGTCTTGTCACCAACGTCTTGATCTCTTTAAGACGCGTCACATGAGTTAAAATTTGACCATTCAGAATTAACGTTAAAACGACCTCAGGTCAACGTTATGTCCTGATCGAAAAAGGACCTCCTGCTGCATATGAATGGATCCGTGTTGTTGAGCTGAACAGTGAACAACCTTCCAGGACCCAGGTGCTGTCATCGCTCTACCGCGTCTTCGTCAAAAGTTGTAGAAAAAATGCTGGTGGCCATCGATGGACATTTCCACTAAGGACCTTTCGAGTCATCACTCGCCATAAGTTGCACCCTGTCCCTGGCAATGATGAGCTGATTTGTCATGGCTCCAAAGATATTTTGTGTTTCTGACGAACTTTTTCAAAGCAGGAGGCATTCGTGCTTTTTCTAATTTCTCATTGGGTGGAGACTTCCACTGGCGTCCAACTGGCGTCTAACTGAGCAGACGTCCAAGTTGGCATCTAGCTTGGCGTCTAACTGTTGGACGGAGACTTCCAAGCTAGACGCGTCTAAATTTAGCCGTCGCCAGATAGAGGCAGCGGCCGTCCAGCTAGACGCGTCTAAGACTTAGACGCGTCTAGCTAGACGCGAAATGGAAGTCTCCACCCATTATTTTCTAATGATGAGGTCACATATTTGACCTGCCTTCAGATCATAGCTGTAAATCCTCAGTTAGAATCATGAATTGCTGACACGTATAACCCCATACATTAGGTGGGGGTTTTTGGTAAATTTGGTACTGAATACAGTGTACCAAATTTCGAAGTTATGGGAGAAAAGCTACAAGAATGGCGAGAGGGGAAAGTTTTTATAGAGGTATACCGTATAACTGAACTTGGCATGGCGACCTGACCTTAAGTGACCAGTGATAATTTTTACGCAAGTGATGTAGGTAGGGTAGGTATACCTACCTAATAGGTTATACCAAATTTGGCGGCGCTGCGCGCCGATTTGTTACACACGCACACACACACATACGCACGCACAAAACTGGGAAGTGTGGCAAAAAAAACACCCCTACCCATCGGGTGAAGACTAGAAACCCGACCCCCCCACTCAAAAATCCGTGGCGACGCCCCTGGATCCGACGAATCGACTGCGACCATTTTTGTAAAACGATCAGACGAACGCTCGGGGCAGTTTTGGTGCGTCCAATCCTTTGAGGGATAAAAAGGTACTAGGATGGGGGCTACTTAAAAACATTGTTGTGCTGGTGTTCCCCGCCCACAGCTAATTGACCTTTAGGTAATTGGCTAATTGGCTTTAGGGAGCTCTTGAAGCGATTTTGAATCTGATGTATTTGTTAGTGTTGCTGACGCCTGCTTCACTGACATAAAAGCTAAAAAAGCATAGGTACTCAGCATCGCAAAAAGTGGGGGGGTCGACACCCCCAGTTTTCAAGAGTGGGGGGTCACGACCCCCCCGACCCCCCCGTCGGCGACGCCCCTGCATTTTCCCATACAACCTGCTCACTCGTCCGTGCACATAGCGTCCACGAATGCTTTGCTTTTCATTTCAATTTAGATTTCAATCTGCAATTTGCGTGAGTGGGTTTGGATAGTCTTCTTATTCTGTGGGTTGGATATCACATTATTTATAAACCCAAGCTTAGGATAAGGATGAAGGTTTGTGCTTCTTGTCTTGGGATTTGAATTGGCATGACAGGACAGGCTCAGACCGCCATCCATCACTCAAAATCCTGAGGACAATCAAATCCTCTTCCTCACCCTGAAGTCCCTGTTCTAGGCAGGACGACTACCTTCATCTGATCTGGGTTGGGTAGTTCATCGGGAGCCGCTGCAGGCCTATCGTGGTGGGGTGACCAAACCAATGACTATTGTTGGGGCTGATTGGCCAGTCCCAGTCCATTGCAATGGGCTCAACAGTCAACCTATGCCACACCAGGGTGACTGTCCAGACCAATGTCTCCCCCTACTTACTATCATTCTTCTGGCGCAGAAAGTCTTGTAAGACTGAAAGCCAAGGGCCTATCCTTCTAAACAAAGAAACAAAATACCAAACCAGTTAAGACTTTGAGTTTAGACCCTTGTCTTCCTGAGAACAGGACCATGGTCTGCACTCAGGAAGAGTGACCATGTCCTTGAGAGTGAGCTTGAGACTGAGACTTGAGCTTATTGTTATGGGTGCCAAAAATATAATAGATATTACTCCAATATCCATTTACTCATTAGTAGAAATCATAGAATTATCCCCTATTCCCCATTCCTCAGTCCCCATCATCATGGATTTGTTTCATTGGGTAATCTTTTTGCTCTAGCTGGTAAGCAGCATTTATTTCTTAGGTACTGCTATAAATGATCTCTTCTGGCATTTATAGTTCTTCCTTATTTTCCAGGCTAAAAACTACAGTTGGTGACCTGATAATGGGCACTGACACATCAGCAGAGGTGAGTACAACTGGTGGTGTGACAACTGACAGGTATTGTTGATGTAGAGGATGAGAGGGAAGCTTTGTGCCAGTCTGGCACACTTGCCAAGTGGAAACTATTTTTCACATTCAATTTTTTTTTGTGGCTGCTTAAGTAAACATGATTTTTATTTCAGTTAGTGTAAACAACTTGCATTGACAATGTGCTGTGACCTGTGACTGATTTTTTTTTAGACATTAAAAACTCCTGGTCAGTCAGTGGGCAGTGACCAGCCTGGGTCCATTGGCTAGGATGTATGCACGTTCTGGTGACAATGCTGATCCAGCTGGTGTTCCTCTGGAGCACAGTGGTCAGCAACTAATAACCATGCCTATCTTGTAATCTGATTGAGGTGCCCCTGGCTGGTCTGTACTCTACATAGTCTTGCGTTCAGTGCCCACACCCCAGTGATTAATCCAGCCCTGCCGCTATTCCCCAGACCTCCGTGATCAGTGACCGTATTCTGGTGATCGAGCCCGGCTCATATTTCCTGCGTATCGGCCGCGCCACGGACGTGAACCCGGCGGTGCTGCCGCACGTGATCGCGCGGCGCCGCAAACCCGGCGGGCTGGCGTACCAGGACCCAGTGCTGCCACCTGACGTCAAACTGGTGAGACTCGCAGTAGAGAGCGGAGGTGAAGGCTGAAGCTGGTAGAAGTGATTGTAGGAAGCGTACTGCGTCGGACAGATAGGCTAAAGGTGGCCAGTTGCAAAACCTTTCGTTCTATCCATATGTCTACTATGGCATTCCTTTTCACCATTGACATTCCTATCACACCAGTTGCCCACCAGCCCCGTTTGATCAGGCAGTGTGGCGATGCGGCTCGCCGTCCGTCTCTAACCTTTCTTCGCCTCTCTTTGTGTCCCTAGACTCGCCAGCAGACGATGGAGCTGGAGGAGACGCGACTGAGCGTGTCACATACCCTGCAGTCGTGCCTTAAGTCAGATGGATCGGCCAGGTGAGTCACCTGCGGTAACGAGAGGAGAGACAGACTTGACTTGTGAGGGCAACACTCGCACCCTACTGTTGTCTTTCGTGTTTAATGCTCCAGAGTCCGGTGTTCAGAGGGTGTGCGTTTTTTATCAGGATCGGAACTCTATTATCTACCTGGGGGATATCGGGTGCTAACTATTACGCATCTTGTCATCTTCAGCAGTAAGTCTCCTCTATTTTACAGCTGACTCATACTGGGTTTTTGCTCCACCAGGTTCGCAGCTCCTCCCCAAATGGTTGCCAGCTTCAACAAGAACTCACAGCCGGTGAAAACTGAGGACCGTGTGCCTGAGTGGACCCCCGGCGGCGCGGACTACGTCGTCGGCGATCAGGTAGGGGGGTGGTTGACTGTCCTTGGGTCGACGTAATATCTGTTGGCTGCGCACTGCGCAGACTGATATGTGCCAACTAGTAAGACTATGCCGTCTACGTTAGGTATGATATTCAGCAATATTTTTGCTTACGGAATGCGACTTCATATTCAATGACGATTTTTCTCTCTCAGACGATGCCTAGGATTCAATTATTTAGCTAAGTTTACCATTTTATTTGCTTTTTTTGTGTCAACGACCTAATATGTCAATGACCTTTCTGCCCTCTCGCTCTGCCGTCAGGCTCTAACGCTGGACCCGAGCGGTCCGTACAACATTCACTTTCCGGTGCGGCGGGGCCGACTGAACGTGCACCCTGGCCCGGGCGGCTCCCTGACGGCCGTGATGGCCGACCTGTATACCATCTGGCTGCACTGCATCGAGCGGCTGCTGGGCATCCAACGCGCCGCGCTCGAGGTGGGATGACAGTCAGCGGGCGGGCGCGTCTGGTAAATCGGGGTAGATGGATGTTGATTGTAATGCTCTCTTACGAATGTGGTTGTTCACGATAAGTGCCGTCAGTGATGGCGGCTGTTTTGTCGTGCTTGCAAGAATAAATGGCCATAATGGTCGTAGATTTAGTAACACTTAAAAAGATTGTTGAAGTATTTCTTGTCTGTCGAAGCTGACGAGACCCAAGAAGCTGAGTAATATGCTGCCTCGCTGGCTAATATGCTGCCATTTTGTATCACCAACGCCTGCCATTTCGACAGACGTACCGGGCCGTGCTGATTATACCATGCGTGTACAACCGTGCCGCGGTAAAGGCCATGGTGGAGCTGCTGGTCAACGGGCTCGGATTCGCCTCCTTCTTCCTGATTCAGGTGAGTTGCACGGGCGAGGTGGGAAATGATTGACGTCGGCATGGCTGAATGAATGAATGGATGAATGAATGAATGAATGAATGAATGAATGAATGAATGAATGAATGAATGAATGAATGAATGAATGAATGAATGAATGTGAGAATGTATTCATGTTCATCGGATAACATGAACATTGAACATGAACATGAATATGAACGTGAACATGTGTATTTACCTTGAATTCAATGGCACACCTCGGTATTTTAAAACTGATGTAATTCAAAGCCATATCATTTTTGGCCAGTCGCCATTAAGTCTCCCATCTCCATGATCCTTGACCAATGACCGAACCGATCACGGGGGCGGGGTGTGGTGTCCAACGGCCGGCCGGCCGGTGGTGACACCCGATACATTGTTTATGGAGCACGTGATGGCTCGAGCCAGGGTTGGAGTGACGTGCGGGGGCGATATCCGACAGCAGTGGCATGCGTGCCGCGCGAAACTCAGCACGGCCGATGTAAATATTTACTTAATGGATGTGTTAGTGGAATCATCAGATCATAGCTCAATGAAGGGGAGGGGCACCGCTTTCACTCTCTGATCATTGATCACTTTTGACTTTTGAGTCATGGTATGCCTCGGCTTTACAAAAAAAGTTAAAATCGTTATTTTTCGCTTGAATTCTTAGCCAAGGAAAAGTATGCCATTCTCTAAAACGTGATTATAATGAATATTGAATTGTTTTGTCGTGCTCTTGGAGTGTAGTTCACGATGCCATTTCCATTCATTTTTCTTTGTTTTCCTGTCCTCGCTCATTTTCAACGCAGAACCAAGTTTGTGGCATATTTTTATTTTGTCATACAATGGGCACACATCCGTGGAGTGCAATGCGCACACGGGAAAGTACAATATATTTTCGCGTTTCGATCATACACTCAAGCATACACCTTTATCTGTTCGTGGTGCAATTCTCATCGTTTGCATTGCACAGTGGGGCAGTGCTCGAGCTATCCACTCATTCGGCTTTCGGCGTAAAAGTATGACACGAGCATGAAGAACAATAAACACTGCACCGACGTCTAGCATTGAAGTGATGTCAGCAATACAAGACTGATTGATGTCGCTTTACCAACAATTGATCACAAATGTGTGTTTTGGTGGCTTTCAAAATGTCTCGTATTTTCATCGAGGATATCCTATAGTTCAACTTATTCTCTAAGGACCCGCATTACCGAACCCAGGGAAGGTTCCATGGATGCGTACAGCATAACTAAAGCTAGGCTTACTCACAGTCCCAGCAGCAGCAGTGCGTAAGCTAAAAATGTCGAACACTCACACTCGGATCACTAACACGATGCCCATCTGGTCATCTAACGAATCGCCGATCGCCGGCATTTTACCACTGCAAAGCTGACATTTGATACTTGATAGCCTTTGTTTGTAGCGTCTCAAAGCTACTGGGATACATGTGGCGGACGATATACCATGTGGCATCGAGCACAAGTTTGTGACTGTCAATCCAGCTCCAGCGTTACAGCCTCGCATACCTATCACAAGTGTTGAGACCCTGTCATCGTATTTCTATGCCGCCCTGCGGTAATAGTCTCGCCGGATTTGATGGCCCTGTCAGACCCTCAGCCTCTTCCTCAGCCGCCGCTCAGTCCTGGGCCCAGAGTCCGACCCCAGCGGCCCCTCAGTCCTGGACCCCGGGTACGACCCCAGCCGCCGCTCAGTCCTGGGCCCAGAGTCCGACCCCAGCAGCCCCTCAGTCCTGGACCCCGGGTACGACCCCAGCCGCCGCTCAGTCCTGGGCCCAGAGTCCGACCCCAGCGGCCCCTCAGTCCTGGACCCCGGGTACGACCCCAGCCGCCGCTCAGCTGAGCTGCTCGGGCCGCCCCGCGTCCCTCCTCCGTCGGCGACCGAACAGCCGCCTCCACCAGGGCCGCCGGTCGGGCCGGCCGGCGCAGTGGAAGTCGGCCGGCCGGCCCGCCACGCCCAGCGGCCCGTGCGACAGCTGGCAGGAGGCCTCCACGAAGTGGCCGCAGTCGGCCGGGTTACCCCAGCGGCCGGCGTACTGCAGCCAGTGGGGCGGCGTGCGGCCCAGCGACACCAGGCGGCGCCACGTGTGCCAGGCGGCGCCACCGTCGGCCGTGACGTCCACTAGCTGCGCCACCTTGTTGTACTGGTGCTCGGCTGCGGTGGAGAGAATAAGGGCTCGTTAGGGAGACGAACGAAACTTACCGACCTTTAGACTGAGGAAGGCAATCAAATATGAGCATGGCATGTTCCCAGAGTTAAGATTAGCTGATCGTCTGGTGATCAACTCTTCTAAGTGCGATGGTGGGAGAACTAATTCACAGATCATATTACCATATTTCCCCTGTCCTCCGAATGCAATGCCTCTCCCATTGCTACGCCTCCCTCTGATCACTCACCGGGTGTGGGCCAGAGACCGTGTGAGCCACGCGCCACATAGAGGACCGGGTGGGTTCCATTCAGCTCCAGCTGTCGGAAAGGCAAAGGTGAGGGACACGTCAGTTCAGCGCAAATGGCGTGCGGAACGGTCACATTTGGTCACGGGACACGAGAGGTATGACATATATGAAAGGTCATTAGTGTCTACACTGGTGTCTGTGACATTTTTTATATGGTCACACTGTTGACGGTTCGGTCAAGGGTTTGCCTTGCATTTGAACTACCATAGCCTCGCTAAAAGCGCCTCCCGGGGCGCAGAGGGACACTCACGTTGGGCGGGTACTGCGGGCTGAAGAGGAAGCTGTTGGACACGTGGGAGGTAAAGTTGAACGTGTCGCTCTCCTGGTGGTAGGTGTAGTAGGCGCCGAACTCGTGGGAGGAGACAAACACCTCCTGCAGCTCACCCTCCTGGGGGGGGGGGGATGCGCGGGGTAGCGGTCAGATAGGGAGATATGGGGAGAGAATTGACGCGCAGGGCTGGGCCAGAGAGATGGGAAGTTGGCAACCAGCTGCAGCTGGCTGCGGAAAAAAAATGAGGATATAATCTCTGATATTATTTCCAATGCATGGATAAGAGAGGACAAGTAGCTGATCGACTGAACCCAAAGCTGAAAACTGATATGTTGACTATGGAGCAGAAGCTGGCGCCGGTCTCGATAAGAATTGGCTGCACTCTGAGGGCTCCCGCGTCTCACCTGAACTCTGATGCTGACGTGCTCCCAGTCGCCGACATGGTTTCCGCGCATCTGTCCCAGGGCGTACTTGCCCTCGTTGAACGGGTGGAAGGTCCAGTAGGTGGCGTGGAACGAGGGCGACGCCCGGCCGGCCGGCTCCAGTCGGTTGGTGCTCAGCGCGTCACACCGCGTCACCGTGACGTAGACGGGCGCGTTCTCCGGCGCGGTGCCGGCCAGGAACGGCTGGTGGGTCACCGACGGAGAGCCCACACCTGCGGGAGGGCAAGGGAGGGGTTATATACCGGCCAGGAACGGCTGGTGGGTCACTGCCGGAGAGCCCACACCTGCGGGAGGGCAGGGGAGGGGTTCTATGAGGCTAAAGAGACAGGAGTGTGATGAAGAAGATACAAAGAATGAAGGATGAGTTACGGCCGCGGTTAAGTGAATGCTGTCAAGAGTATGAAATGAAAGGTATTCTCTTTTTGGGAGCACCTGTGTGTGCTACTTATGAAGTTGAACTGGGTCACCCGGCGTTCCCTGTGGTAAAAGACACGGGTATCTGCTTACATGAACCTCGTTTGATCAGCAGCTCAGCTCACTGCACACTGCACGGGTATCACGTTCCACCGCAATGTTGTAGTAACCCTGACCCGGGTCCGCTGGTCCCGGGCTTGCAGCAGGGTCACGCACCCAGGCAACCATTGTTCAACACTGATGTGTCGTGAACAAGGTCACTGGAAGCTCGCTCGAGCGTACCCCATACACGTGTGGAGCACGCTGACCGCATCAATCAGTTCATTGTCGGTTCATTGTCGCCGGACGCGCCGCACTACACTTCGTGACGGACATGTGCGTTTGTGAGGTGTTGTGAGAGTTCTCGTTTTGGGTGCTGGGACACGTGGCAGTGGTTGGGTGACCTTGGGCGGTACAGAGGAACGCTATGGAAGGGATGGGAAGCGGTGTGAGCTTGTTGGCAGTGGTCTGACGATTAAATTTCTATGGAGTTGTTGTGTGCTGTTTGTCAGACCCTGTCATCGACAACCACTGACATTGACATCACGACTGAGATTGACGTAACATCGACTTGCTAGAAGGCTGGTATAGTCATTTAAATATTCCATTTTTATGTCCTTCACTCGTATCGGCTCGCTTCATTTCTCTCTGACCATAACAGGTTCAGTGGGAAACCCCTCGTGACTGGTAGTCGTGACTATCCGGAGGGCTGGTAGGAACTCGGCCGTTACTAATGCACCTCTACTCTCGACTACATAAACCAGTTTATGACCACCCACTATATGTCCATGAACTGCTCACGGGATTCCCAGAGCCACTGGTAGTCACAACCGGCTGCAGTGCCGACTGCAGCACAGCTGGGTTTCTATGAGTTCTCTCCATGGTTCGGTTTGGTTTGCTTTGACAATCGAGGTGAGCTTATTTGATGGTTCAGCTTGCTTGCTCCGAACAGAGTAAAACATCATTCGGACGGCGCTCCCTCCCCTTCGCGTCCGTCCTTCCCTTGCACTCACCCGTTGGCAGCTCGGCGATAATGTAGTGGTCCGCCGTGTCCGGCCCCACGGGCAGCGTGCCGTTCACCAGCGGCACGATCGTCTCACTGTCCGTCTGCACGTGCACGTGCCGCAGGAACGTGTCCACGTCGTCTGGCATCCAGCGCTCCTGCGGATGGAGCAGGAGCAGCGGGGCGAACTGCTCCACCAGCCGGTCCACCGCATCCTGCTCGTCTGCGGACAGGCGACAGGGTCAGTGGGGGTCCTCAGCCTCAGGGGCAGAGTTAGTGAGGGTCCTCCACCTCTACGGCAGTCAGCGAGGGGTCCTCCGCCCCTGTGGCAGCGCCAGAGGGAAGATCTCCGC